ACATACATACATACATATATACTGGGGGGTGCCAAAAAATGTACACATTTTAAGAGATGTTATCTATGTATAACTTTTCGAAGTTGAATTGAATTAAAGCAGCAATGCGTAGTATGACATTCACTCAAAAGGTGGCGTTAATCAAATGAATACTAGCATCTTTCATTGTATTACAATTTTAATACAATTTTTTCCTTTCTTAAAATGTATATACATGTTTTGATCCCCTCTGTATATATATTTATACCACAGCTTCTTTACACAGGTCTTATGTTTTCGTGTCTTGGCTTTGTAAATAATGCTGCTATGAAAATTGGGTTGCAGATATCACTTTGACATAGTGCTTCCATGTCCTTTTGATATATTCCAAGAATTGAAATGGCTGGATCATATGACAGCTTTACTTTTAATTATTTTGAGGCACCTCCATACTGTTTTTTATAGCATGGAAAATTTTATAGTATTGTACCAATTTACATTCCAACAGTGCATAAGGATTCACTTATATCCACATCCTCACCAACACTTGCTATTGCTATTTCTTGTTGGTTTATTTTAATATTAGTCATTCTAATAGATGTGAGATGCTATCTCATTATGCTTTTCATTTTCTTTGACGATTGATTTTGAACATCTTTTCATGTACTTGTTGGCCATCTATATATCCTTTGAAAAACTGCCGTTCAGATCCTCTGCCCATTTTTTAATTGGATTGTTTTCTTGTAGAGTTTTCTGAGTTCTTTATGTATTTTGGATTTTAACCCCTTATCAGATATATAATTGCAAATATTCTCTCCCATTTCATAAGTTGCCTTTTTATTTTATCAATGGTTTCCTTTGCTGTGCAGAAGCTTTTCAGTTTGATGTAGTCCCACTTGTTTACTTTTATTATTATTGCCTGTGCTTTTGGTGTCAAATCCAAGACATCATCGCCAAGACTGATGTCAAGGAGTTTACAGCCTGTTTCTTCTAGGAGTTTTGCAGTTTCAGGTCTTAATTCAAGTTTTTAATCCATTTTGAGTTAACTTTTTGTGTATGATGAAAGATAACTGTCCAGTTTCATTTTTTGCATGTGGCTGTCCAATTTTTCCAGTACCATTTATTGAATAGATTGTCTTTTCTTTATTCTTGGCTCCTTTGTAGTAAATTAATTTATCATATATATATATGTGAGTTTATTTCTGAGCTCTCTATTCTGTTCAGTGGATCAATGTTGTTGTTTTTTTAAATAACAATACCATACTGCTTTGACTACTGTAGTTTTGTAATATAGTTTGAAATCAGGGAGCATGATGCCTCCAGTTTTGTCCTTCTTTCTTATGTCAAATCTTTGGTCAACTATTTTTGCAGCTGTACATATATAAATAAAGCTGGGGCGCACATATATGCTACTTAGTGGTAAAAGTAAATAGCTCCCAAACAGTACAAAAATAAATAGTATGTGAATCTACCGTGGTTAAATAGATTTTAGTCCCTTGGAGCCTATAATTACTTTCAACTTCCTTTGATAGAAAATCCTCACTGCCTCAGGTACTGAGTTTCTGTCCTGGTGGGATTGTTGATCAGCTGTCTCTACAGCACCCACTATTTACACAGATGCTGGGAGTCCCTTGGATGAAGAATCTTCATAAACACATTTGGACTGAAGCATCAGTTAGACCATCATTATTGAGAAAAGGTGACACATAATGTCTCTCCATAAAAATAAACTTTATCCCCCAAATGGCTCTCCATCTTGGCTCTCTTTTTCCATTTTTATCTGATCTCCCCCTCCGACTGTAATTTGGTACTACCTGGCCTGACAGAGTTCTCAGAATGAAAATTCTGACAAACACTTAAAAATCAAAAATTAAATAATGCACAATCAAGTCAAAATAGCATTGCTAATGTTCAAAAGCAAATGTGAAGATTTGATATATATCATTAAACTAAATTTGCACTAGCAAAGGAAGTGAATCAATTTACTTCCTTAAGGCGGAACTGTGAAGGCCAACTGGCATGGCTACACAGTTTAGCTGTTTCTGCTACATTTAGAGCAGACATATTTAGCAGTGTAAGAGGCTCTCTCCATCTCTGTCACCCAGAGTACTCTGAATAAGCCTGTGGAGCTGGCTTTTAATATAGAAAAGCCAATATAATGCCCAAGTAATAAAAATAGGATCTGTACTTGTCAAGTCTCTTGACAATCAGATGCTGTGCTTGTCCTCTTCTGCCCTGTTCTGTACCTTCTAAGATCAATTGAAGGTTGGGACAGAAGGGGTTGCTATTAAAAGGTCAAAACGACAGGTTGCAAAACTTTTTTTTTTTTAATCTTTGTGTCACCAGAGCTTCATAAGTTTATTTGCCCATGTAATTCTCCCTTCGCTACTTCCTTACTGAACAATTACAAACATCCCTCAGAACTAGTATTTTTAAGACATTCTGGCAAATGCTCCTCTTGACTCAACAAGGAATAGGATCAATTCAGGTGAATGTTATAGCCTCCCAAAGCTTAAAACCCTAAATTTTCACAATGGCTTTGGAGGCTGCAGGGAAAGTTATATTATGAGACGAAGTTGGGGAAAAGAAAACACTAGGCCAGGCATGCACTATTGTTTGCCCCTCTTTGGTCATCTTTAATTAGCAGAGACAATTAAAGGGTCCCTTGTATTACCCTTTAAAACCCAACCTCACAGTTCCTGAGGGGTAGCAAGTTCTGGGTGCTCTCTGAGATGCCACTACAGGATATCAAAGCTATGATGAGAGACAAAAGAGAGAAAGGAAAAAAAAGTGCTCTTCTACCTCTGCATTCACTCCATGCCCAGAAAAGCCTTCTGAAAAGCTTGTGTCTAAGAATTAGTTTGGAAATGGTTACAGAGAGCACATCACAGCTAGGGCTCAAATTCTTCTAACAAATTTTTTTCTTCTTTGATGTTGAACAAAGCTCTCTGACTTCCAAATGATTTAAGGGGTGTCCAGTGAACATGGTGAGAGCAATTCTCATTGTTTCCCTGATGATAAATAGAAATAAAAACCAAACTGGGACACCGGCCTTCTCAAAAGAGGTAATTTCTTGAAACTTGATCTTTTCCGGGGTGGCCGGGTGGCTCAGTTGGTTAGAGCGTGAGCTCTGAGCAACTGGGTTGTGGGTTTGATTCCCACATGGGTCAGTGGGCTGAGCTGCCACTGAGCTGACAATAGGCTGCCGGATGGCTCAGCTGGTTAGAGCGCATGCTCTTAACAACAAGGTTGCCAGTTTGACTCCCGCATGGGGAGGTGGGCTGCCCCTCCCCCCCTTCCCCTCACAACTAGAGTTGGAGCTGAGCTGCGCCCTCCACAACTAAGAGTGAAGGACAACAACTTGATTTGGAGCTGATGGGTCCTGGAAAAACACAATGTTCCCCTTCCACAATTCCCCAACACTGTTTCCCTTCACAATTCCCCAATAAAAATCTTTAAAAAACAAACAAACAAAAAAACTTGATCTTTTCTTTTTGTCTTTAGGCTTTGGAGCCTTCAAAATAAATGTGCAAGGAGGTGAAAGCACAAACCATGGAAAAGGACAGTCTAAAACAATAAGAATGTCCACAATGGGCTCCTCTATGTGTGAAAGCTCTTGTTTGCTCTGGCAAGCAGCTGGCCCTCTCCGGCTGGTTCTCAGCCCCTTTTCGGATTTTACATTCACTCACAACCCCACTGCAATTTACATGAATGGCATGTACTTTCAAAGTTAACTGACTAAAAGGGGCTTTCTCTCTTTCTCTCTCTCTCTCTCTCTCTCTTTCAAATCAGAAACAGAATGTAATTCTACACTGAACTCCCACAACAAAAAAAGTGCTGAGAAGGAAAAGAAAGACATAAACATAAGCACTATGAGGGAAAACGTTTTTCATATGCCTTGTGCTTCAAGGCTACAGAACTATGAAGCTTATCAGAGGGCTTCCTGGCCAGCTACAGTTGGAAAAGAGACTCTATGTTAATTAAACAGAGTCCCAACCCTTCCAAGAAGGAGATTTCTGGCATTTGCAATGATTTGCTGAATCTATTACCACGTACAGCCCTCCACCTGGAAAATGAATAGGTGTTGTTTATTCCTAGTAATA